GTATTGTTGGCTATTGCTACAAATACACCCCAGCGACTTAAGACTGCTTTTGTGCTCCAGGGTCACATATAAAAAATAATAACCAGAAAATAAGTGAAATGATCATATAAATAGAGGCCAGCGGCTTCTTAAAGTGACAGTCGACCTGTGAGTGTGTTGTTGTGTAATGTTGTGTTGTGCTGTGTTCATCCTCTTTCTAACCCAGGTGCCTTCCAGGATACACAGGGAACCGCTGTCAAACCACAGACCCTGTGAGAGTCATAGACCCCAAACGTATGTGCAGTCAGTGAGCATCCCCTTCACCTCCAAACACACACGCCATCGCCGCTGTTTCTGTGCTGCCTCGCCGTTCACAAAGCATTCTCTCTGTCAGAGTTTGCCAGGCCGCTCTTAGACGATGGGCTACTGTCTTCTCTGCCAACATTCAGAATAGAGATATTCCTCAGTGTTCAGAGGCCAGCCACGTTGAAGCTGTTGATTGGCTCTCGGAAGCTGAGAGAAATGAGGTGGACGTTTGCGAGAGGTTCAGCGGGCAACACCGGAGACACGCGTGTGTGCGGGGGACTTCTGGGTGTCAAACTCACTTCCTGTCTTCCTCTCTTTTCTCTCTGTGACTTTTGTCTTTCCCTCTCAGGTGCCCCAATGAGTTTACTGGTGATCGCTGCCAAAACTACGTAATGGCCAGCTTCTACAGTACGTCTATTTCCTCTTCCTGTCTGTGCTTGGATTGGAGCATGCTCAGTCAGCACTACCTCCTGTTGCTTTGTTTTTGTGCTCTCGATGGATGGGAAGTCAGATCAGACAGTGGTCCAGTTATATTTAGGATTCTGTTTATGTTTTCCATTACTTCTTTTTGCATGTTTAGTGTTTATTAATCTAGTTTTGTTCTGTTGGATGCTAGTTAGCTGACGATGGTTAGGCAGGGTTGACATTCATCAATCTGGACACATTAGTTATTAGGGGATATCGGGTTTCTCTGCTTCACATCATCTTGGACTTAGACAGGAACAGACAAAGGGGCAAACAGGACAAAATCAAACAAGCTGGCTCATGATATGTTATGAGCTATGGCTTTACTCTCAGCTCATCAGCATGTTTTGTGAGCTAGCCATCGTGGATGTACTGTATGTCCTGTAAATGTACTAAGGGTCATTCTCAAGAAACAGTGAACATTTGTGCTTGAAAACTTTCTTTACTGCTGAATTCTTGAAAATGTTTAGTTTAGAACAGTGTTGTTAATGTTAACTAAAAACTAAGACTATTAAAAATAAATTTAATTTGCAAAGCTGAAATAAAATAAAATACAAATATTAAATGAAAATTGTAAACCTAAAAACAATTAAATGGAAATTAGAATTGTTCCTTAGCAACTGAAATAAGTTTAAGCTGAAGTACTTTAATTACCAAAACTAAATCTGAAATAAAAACTAAATTAAAGCTCAATAGAAATATTTTAATAATTAAAAATAACAAATGCTAGAAAACTTAAACTAAATTTAAAATTAAAATATTAAAATAAAAACTATTAAAATATATTATTAAATTCTATAATAGTAAATTAATAACACTAAAATAACACAGGTGTAGAATTCCCATATTTTAACATTCATAATTGATATAATAATAATAAGAATTATTATAATAATAATAATAATAATAATAGTAGTAGTAGTAGTCTGCCATAATAACCCAGTATGACATTTCTTTTTTAAAACATATTTGTAATTGTATTACATATTTGTAAAAAATAAAAATAATAATAATAATAATAAATAAATAAAATAAGAATAATCATATCTATAAAATAAGTTCAGTGTCCTGCGCACAAACACCTTTTCCTGAGAATGACCCTGTTAAACTATTTAAATGACCTAACACAGTAATAACCATAATTTATTTCATTAACGCGCTGAAAGCACACTCTTCAGAGTCTCTGAAGCCGATCTGAAGGACCCCTGCTGAAACTCATCAGTACACTATGAACACTGTGAACCTTGCTCAGATGAGATATCAGATTGGACATTGAGGGAGGTATAATGGAGCAGACAGAAACTCTCCATCGATTTATCTACAGTGCTAAAAAATAGCTAAATTTACTGGAGACCTGCACAGACAATCTATTCTCAGCTATTAATAGTGTTTGCTAATGTGTTCTTCGTAGTATGACCTCCATCAGTAGAGATGCTCTGGCTCAGGGTCCAAAGAAGCTTTATCACCGAGAAACGACATGCAGGAAAGATCAGATCATTGGCCCTCTAACAATACTTCATTATTAGGTCAGCATTCCATTCAAACAATTGATAAGCAAGGATGATATTATTTTGAATTATTCTAATTGGCCATTTTACATTTTTGTTATTGTAATGTCACTCCATTTTATGGCTGGAGTGCCATGTATTTATGGCTAAGCATGACATAGCTTTTTTAGTCATGAGGTTATTTAAATAATTTTATCAGAAATTGGTACGTGCGTTTCTGAGAACCTCGTTTTTTATTTCAAATTAAATTTCTGGAACCTGTTCTCAGTGTACAGAGGAATCATTTTGCCAGTGTTATTTCTTTTCAAACTTTGACTGGCTCAGGTATCAGACCAACAAGCAGCAGCAGGTTTTCTTCTGGACGTTACAGATAGTTTAGGTGACCGAGATGTGCATGTGTTTAACAGCATGTTCATCTAAAACATGTACTGGCGTAATGACATGAATAACCGAGTCTGACTTTGTCCGTAGTGAAATGTGGAGGGTCGGTCTCTATAATGATGTGAGCGCAGTGACATCTGCATGTGCATGTCCTTGTGTCATGATGACAACCAACCATAAGTGTCTGTATATAGAGATGTGCATCGCTATATACGCGTGACAAACCATCCATGTATCTCTTAATGAACTCTAAAAGCATTCAATGATGCATTGTCATGGTGGGTTTAAAGTCAAACAGAATAGATTTGAATGATTTCTTTTCAAATGTCTTGTGTGTCTGTGTGATGTACCATGCTGTACTCTACATGCTGAGATGATTTCAGTGTTTTCGGAGGTGCTTTGAGGTGGTGTTTGTGTGCAGTCAGTCAGAGTTGACATCACCGCTCAACTGTTTTCTGTTTGTTTGTGTTTTGCTTTCTTTTCATCACCTTGTCTTCCTTGGCAGAACATCTTGGGATTGAATTTATGGGTATGAATCGTTCTTTCCTCCTAGTTTGCAGATTCGTAGGTCTAGAAGCTTGAGCCTGTTTCCTTCAACTTCAGCTGGTTTCCTTTTGCTCATGAAGGGATCAAACAGCCATAACAAGATGATTGGAGATTGACATCATTATTATTCTTTATTATATTAATGCACTGGGCTTCAGATGGCTGCTCAGAGCCACTCTGCAGGTTTCTAGTGTTTTAGGCAAGAAAGTGGATAGCCGCTCCAAAGCATGTGATGTGCAGGGGGCATTAGCCTGCATGGTAGGAAGGATGCTGTTAATTATTCATGAAGACCTCTGATATCTTCCATTCAAAGCAGATATGCAAGGCTCTCTCACACACACACACACACACACACACACACACACACAGAGGCAGCTAAATTAATTCACACACAGTTCAGCTGTGCAGAAGAGAAGCCGTACTGCAGTAGTTATGCTGTGTTTAGATCCCTTCAGCTTTGCTTTGCCCTCCATTCATGCATCCCTCTATCTTCAGCATGACGTCTCATTCCTCACTTTCTTCCTCGTTTTCTCCCATTGTTCTATTTCTCCTCAGTGTTTTATCCATGTCTGTTTGTAGTGATTGCCATTGTGTTGTGTGCATCAAGAATATGCAATACTTAAAGATTTAAGATGTAAATCAAATGGGTGGTAGTGTTTGCTCACAGGCTTCAGTAATGTTTACTGCGACAGGAACACACAATATTCTGTGCCTTAAAGACCCCGTGAAACTGTGAGTTCGCACCACTACCAATTCATGACTTTTTATAAAAGCCTTTAGCATTCCATATCTATTGGCTCTTCACAAACATATAAATCAAAATAGACTAACAAGTGAACAATGTGAAAAAAAGAACAACTTGTTGAAGGCTTCGATAAATTCAGTCTGTCAATGTTGTGATTAAACTGCGTAATGAAATGAGTGAAGCGCATGCAGTGTTGAAGACATCCCAGAGGCCTCGGGCCCTGCAGAGTCTGCATTTCATGTAATTGTGATGACATGATGATTCTGAAGTGACCTTGAATTAACACGTCCCGTTGTCTCCTCCCCTCCCCTCTCAGCAAAACTACATCCTGAGATCAATAAGCATCTGTGTGTCCTAGTAGCAGTAAACCCCCAGCGTCACTGGAAACATACATGTGTGCTAGCTTCTGTTCTTACTTGGAAATCTGTTGACATAACATAGTTATTATAAAAATAAATATTCGAAGTAAGAATGTGACTGAGATCTGTGTGATGTGTGTGTGTTTCACCTGGAAGCTTCAAAAGCAGTCTGTCCTCTCTTCCAGAAGCTGAGGAGCTCTATCAGAAACGCGTTTTGACTATAACAGGCATCTGCATCGCTCTTCTAGTTGTTGGCATCATGTGTGTGGTGGCTTACTGCAAAACAAAGTAATTCACTTTTTGAAATGTCTTAGTTTGTACTAATGTTTCACTCAAAAACTAAAATTATTACTAGTCATTGAAATGCGATCTCCTGCAGTCTAAGAGCTGTTCGTGTTTTTGCACATGTAGGAAACAGAGGAAAAAGCTGCATGATCGTTTGCGGCAGAGTTTACAAGAGCGAAACGCTGCGGCCAAAGGCCCTCAGCACCGCCACCCTCCACCCGAAAACCTGCAGCTGGTCAATGTGAGTATCATCACCGCACAGACCCTAAGAATCTGCAACATCATGCTGATATACTTAATCCTGTGCACTGCAGTTTGAAACAGTGGTTAAAATAATTCTCTTCACACAATGCCCCGTTTTGGGATTTGAGATTAGCTATTCACAGAAGAAATAGTGCAATTTACGTTAATGCAATCAATATGAAGATTAGTAACAATCACCTAAAAGCCAATATTAAATGATGTACAAACAGTTAAAGTTGACGTTAAACAAGTATATAATATGCTATAAGAAAAAGCATGTAATAAAAGTATATAATATACTTTAAGAGTCGAACAACAATCAACTTTGGTCTTATTTCAGCATTACATGCCGGAAAATACCGACCCTCCTCATGTGCATGTGATGGACAAAGAAATGGAAACATCTCTCTCCACAAATGAGTTCACCTCATCAACACATCCGTCCACTGCTGTCACTCACTCCTCCAGCCAGTGGTACAGTACAAACCCATAGAATATCATGCACACAAGATTACTAGCTAGAAATTGTACAAATGAAATCAAGTCCTATTTATTGGTGTAGCACTTCTTACAATACATTTTTTTGCAAAGCAGCTTTACAGGAAGTTATGTTGTAACTATAATTATATTTATACTGTAGTATAAATGCTACAGTAGGCTTCCTGGCATAGAAGTCCCTTTCTTTTAGGAATTTTTTTAAATGACAGATTGACCATTAGCTCCTATGATTTATATATATATATATATATATATATATAGTTTGTTGAATGTTTGTTAAAGTACTACACCACCTATAATACTGAAGTGAGATCCATCAGTCAAGAAATGTCTTTGTAACCATGGACCCTTTGAAATGTCTATGGAGACAATGGTGAAATATGTCCAAAACCAAGGGACAGTCACTGTTTAATGATGAGGAATCATTGTGAATGAACAACACAAAACTAGAGGATGTGTGTGATGAGTGGCTTTGCTTTTGGCTTCTCACAGCTGGAGTAATGGGAAAGCAGAGAGTGTGGTTTCTGACAGTCACGCAATCCTGGTCAAGTCATCGGTGGAGAACTGCCGGCACGGTACGTCCGGTCACAGGGGGCGTCTGAATGCTACCGGAGGAGTCCATCAGCTCAACGATCACCTGAAGAGCTCTAGAGAAACCCAGGGCTCCTGCAGAGACTCCCCCTACAGCCAGAGGTACTGTTCACTGCATAGTACTCCTGCAGGATCCCATCTCTCCTCATTAATACCATGAGCCTTTGAATAAATATTATGTCATGAGAAGCTTTATGCCGTGCTGCTTTTATTTATCAAGCAGTAAAATCGCCCATTCCATGGCCAAAACAAGCCGTCTGTGGATGAGAGCGTAAAGTGAGGACTGATGGGACGTTTTTCTGCTCAACAGACGATGAGTGGAAGGACAATTTTAAAATAAAATGACAGTCATTTATGACACTTCATTCTACAAAAACAACACATCATGCGTCATTACGCCATGCACGTTCAAAGTACTTTCCCGTTTTGGTTTTCAATCCGATCAAGTGTTTACATGTCCTCTGGATCGGATTAGAAAAGGTCTGCACCACCCCTTCCAATCTGATCGAAATCTCATTTGGATCAATCTCATTCAGATCAATTAAAGGCCCAATATGTAATTTTCACCTCTAGAGGGCGCGTATTCAAAATAAACAAAGAGGCAAAGGTGTAGTTTGATGACGCCGTGACTGAGTGTGGAATCATGGGAGTTGTCGTCTTCATCCCCACAGCCGACGGGACTCGGGCAGAAATCATGTTCATGGATGAGCTAATGATTTATTAACGTAGTAGAATGAAGCAGGGTGAGGCTGAAAGCCGTCAAAGTGAAACGAGGCCGCTGAACGAGCGCGACACACGGCTCGAAAGCAGCAGAGCTTTTATTATGTCACAGTCGACCTCTTCCGCTCCTTCCGGTCGTGCGTTTGTGGGGTAAAGCAGCGCTGTTTTATCATACTAGATACGTTTGAAAGTTCTGTTATAATGCTACTCTGTGCGGTC